GTCAAGCTACACATAAGAGAGTATAAATCCTCAATCCTAGGCTACCATGAATACTTCTAACTCATGCTACCATGAAAGGCATTTTACAATGCCAAGTCAAGTTATCCCTTAGGAGAGTATAGATCCTCCATCCTAAGCTATCAATCTTGGTCTTATCCTACCAAGCCAAGCTATACATGAAGGGAACATATGTCACAACTTCAAGCTATTCTAGACTAACAAGCTTTGACTCATTTTAGGATATTAAGCCAACCTAGAATCATTCTATGTGAGAGAACCTTGGATCTCCTAGCATCTTTATGCTTAAGTGTGTGAGTGAGAATAGACTTTCAACAATACACAACAAGATCACATTATATTAGCTTTACTCTCAAATCCCTAATTAATATGATCACAAGCCTTACTCTCAAGCTTTCTTTCTTAATCTCATCAATATACCTAGATTTCAAGGTATTTCAATCACATTCTTCATTAGTAGGTGATTCTAGTCCTAATTGATTCATAAAGGTTGAAACTGATCTTTACAAGTCATGATCATTCATATTCAATAAAGTCTAGTTCAATTCATGATTATATGTTCCTAACCTTGAACAATTATTACTCATGACATTGATTTAAGAAGATCACCTTTGAACCTTCAATTTCATCTCTAATGGCATGAACCGACAAATATCACATTCATCAATTTAGACTAGGGTTTACCAAAGAAATCACATAAATTCATCATAATATCATAATTCAATGTTAATACAATCATAATTAGGTATTATCCACTAGATTGGAATCATACCTAAACCCTACCCACAATATAGAAGGAAACCCTAGCTAGAATTGGGTTTTTGACTTCACAATTGGGGGAAAACCTAGGAGGCTCTATGGGGGAAGAACCCATAGATGAATAAGCAAACATACCTTAATTCAAAACCCTAATCAAGCTCTCATAAATGGAGGAAAATCTGCCCTCTTCTCTTATCTTCTTCTTCTTCTTCACTTCTAGAGAGAAAATTTTTGGAGATAATTTGGGGTTCTTAAATGAATTAGTTAATGACTTAGTTTAGGGGCCTATTAAGCTTATATAGGTAACTAACTAACCGACCTCCCTTAAACCCTAATTAATAACTAATTAATTCCCAAACCTCCAACTTAAAAACTAAAACTAAAAATCTGCCCCCACTCACGAACCACTCACCCACGGACCGTGGGTGGGTCCAAGCTCCGTACTGCACCTCCGTAGGTGCTGGTTCTGAGGCTGAAAATGCAGGACAACTCAGGCGTTGACCCACGACCCCAACCCACGGGTGTGGGTCCACTCACGGCCAGTAGGTGCCAAGCGTGAGTGGCATGATTTTTTACTGCTTTTAGGGATGTTTTGAGGTCCTCCTCAAGGACCCCTTGGGTGGTCCTTGGGGGGTCTTACCTTGACGCCCTAACCCTTAAACCCCTATTCTAAGTACGGTAATCATTTTTATGACTTAAACCCTCTCATCAAGCTCTAAAACTCTTACGAAAAGCTCTAGAACTCTCTAGTTCAACTTACTAATTTCCGGGGCGTTACAATATCTCCCCCTTGGGATCATTCGTCCTCGAATGACGATTCTAAACACTTCTTAAAGTCACAACTCTAAACTAGCAGCCCATCATGCATGTACTACATCTAAATGCACACAACCAAGGAAGAAAACTTCAATTCCAAGCTAAACACATTCAATGCAGCACAAGGGAGTAGGAACTACCTCTACCAACCCAAAAATGCATGAAATTTTATATCTACTCATTTTCAAGGAGGAACTAATATCTCCTAGCTAAAACATGCCCAACACACACTCGTGGAGCCTAAATGCAAATTACTCTTAAAAAGCATCTATTCAAGAGAATCTTTCAACTCCAAACTAAGGCATGCTCATAATCAACTCATGAAGTCTATATGCAAATCTACCCAAATGCACTACAACATGAGGAAAACAATGCATATAAGTCATTTCTAACAAGACCTAGGCATTTTCATGAACATGCATATAAGGAAATCATGGCAACACATAAAACACACAATAACCCTACTAGGTAGGCACACTATCTCCCCCTTAGGAGTAAGCCTACACAAACTTTTCTAAACATCATATATGCTAAAACAACTTCAAAGTCCAACATAACAAGTCACAAAAGACAAGAAATCCAGAAATTTACTAAAGCATAAAACACATACCGGAAGGGACATGAGCAGATCACTCTTGGTCTTCTCTAGATTGGAGAGCATAAAACCCATTCTTCTTTTGAGGCTCCACATCCCCACTACTAGAGGCAACTTGTTTGCCCTCTCTTTTTGTAACCTTAGCCTTAGGTCAATCTTTCATCACGTGGCCACTCTCACCACAACTAAAGCAACCCTCTCTACTGGCCAAACACCTACCCTCATGACTCTTACCACACCTAGCACAATAGGGCCATAGGGACTCATTACTTATCCCTTGTGGCCTAGAGGTAGACACTCTCTCATCCTTATGCTTAGGAGCATTAGAAAAGCCTTGTCCAAAAAAATTTGTCGATTCCTAGAACGACTATGTCCATTGGACCCATCATGAAAGGACTTATCATTATCCATCCTAGACCTCTTTTTCTCTCTAGATTTTTCCTCTTCAAGTTTTTCTTCCTCCACTTGTTGAGCATACACCATAAGACGTGAGATATCCATATCATCATTGAGCATTGCCGTACGACATTCTTTTGACACTAATTTGGACACCCCCACAAACCTATTCATCATGTCCCTCGGACTTGCTACCATAGATGGGGCATACTTAGAAAATAAAGTAAATTTCAAGGAATACTTTTTAACACTCATATTACCTTGCTTAAGGTTGATGAATTCTCCCACCTTAGCTTCCGTCAACTCCCGAGGAAATAACCTATCTAAAAATGCCTCATTAAATATCTCCAATCTATGGGACCCGCCTCTACCGGCCTACCATCTTTCCATTGCTCATACCATATTTGAGCCACATACTTCAATTGATAAGCAGCTAGTTCCGCTTTTTCTACCATACTCACTCCCATGATAGATAGCACCTTATACACCTCCTCTATAAACCCATTAGGATCTTCCTCCACCTTAGAGCCACTAAACTCCGGAGGGTTCATCCTCAAAAACTTTCTCACCCTAGAAGCAGTCATCCCCCTTATTGGGTTAGCTGGGGCCACTGCCTCCCTATTGGCTTGGGCCGTCATAGCTTAAGCTTGATTTGTCACAATTCGAGCTTGAACCATCATGGCTTGGGTCAATGCTAGTAAAGCCGACCTAATCTCCACATTAGTCATATCCGGAGGATCAATAGGAGCTTGATGTGGAACTTGGGGAGGAACCTCTTGCTCCACATTGCCTTTCTCTTCTCTCCTAGCATTTACCCTTGTATTAGCCATACCCTAAAACACAACAGGCATGGATTAGAAGAAGGGCCTACTAAAGCCAAACTCTATGGCAAGACTTAGAGAATGAAGAAGTGAGATTTCCTAAGCATCCAATAGCCTCCTATTCTTAAATGTGGCTCGCTTCACACTTATGAACAAGACTCTACTAGACGTGGTTTGAGACAATCCTAGAACCATTCTAAACCTTGTGCTCTTATTATCAAGTTTATTACGACCCAAGGGTATATCCTAGATATACACGGCGTACTTGACCCCAAAAGGGTCTCATGCAATCCCTTAGCATATCATGAACATAAGATAATAGAAAATACGGCAAAATTTAAAAATTTTTACAATCAAAGTCATTTTCACAAAAGCAATCGGAAGTCTTTCTATACTTTGTCTCAAACCATCTAATACAACTTTTAGAATAAACTGTTGGGACACAGCCCATAAAATAGTCTCAACATGAAAATGAAAGACATAAAGGAAATATGGGTGTTGTCCTCGAAGATATGAGGACTCACCAAGATCTTCAACTCCTTGCAACTTCTAGAAAACTATCTCCAAGAGTAGCACTCAATATCCAATCCCTACAATTGATTAGAATGTAGGTAAAATATGCGTTAGTAGAAAATGTACTAAATATGATAGCTAGCATAATCATAAGAGCATAAGACAAGGGTTAGTCAATATAAGACATAATCCAAAATCATATGAAATACTTCATGAAACATAAACCATAAGTATAAGAGACAATACCATAATCATAATAAGCAAAGTCTCCAACACAAGCATCATATAAGCATAATTTGACTCTTAGTCATCTATACCATATATAATAGAACCATTCTCAAGTAACCTCAAAAGCATACATGTACAAAGCATGAATAGCATCCTATAATACCACCCAAGCCAAGTATCCCTTTTTGGTCATCTTAATCATAGCCTATATACATGGTCGAGTCTCTAAGCTTCTATACCATAAGGGCACCATACTTGTAAGTAACCTCAGAGCACACTTGTGCAATGCATGAAAGGCATCTCATACTACCCTTCACAATAAGCATAACCTTGAAGTCATCATAGTTATATTCACCTTTCTTTGCTCTCACTATTGGCTTACTTCATGTAGACAAGGGAACTATCACTTTTAGTCAATCATAACTTCGAAGGCAACTATGGCAAAAATCCAAGCTAAACTACACTATTTAAGAGCACCCTTCATAACTAGCCTCAAGTCATACTTGGGCAATGTATGGATAACATGATGATACTACTATCCACACTAAGTACCCCTTTAGACTATCATGAATGTTCACTAGTTGGGGACTAGTCCCTCTTGACTATTTCCCTTTATTCATTTAAGGTACTTCTCTATTTAGTACTAAGCAAGTCACAACCCATGAATGAATTCTATTTCTCAATTCAAGGCTACCAAGGAATAACCCCTTAATAGGCTAAACCATGCTATCATATTACTAATATAACTATATTAGGCTAAGCTAACTACCTTGGAAGACACACTAACATGCAAGTCCAAGCTACTCTAGGAAAGGTACAAGTGTCCTATCCTAGCTACCATGAAATAGTCCCAAACCAACTAAGTCATGCTACTCTTACAAGTATACTATGATACAAATGCAAGCTATCCTTAGGAGAGTATGATTCTCAATCCTAACCTATCCCTAGGAGAGTATGAGTCCTCAACCCCAAGCTATCATGACTAACCCTAACTCAAGCTACCCTCGAAATGCTCTTACAATGCAAAGTCAAGCTACCCTTAGAAGAGTATGGATCCTCAATCCTAAGCTACCCTTAGGAAAGTATACATCCTCAATCCTAAAGCTACCATGAAAAGTGCTTGGCCAAAATGTAAATTTGGAATCATACCTAAACCCTACCCATAATGTAGAAGGAAACCCTAGCTAGAATTGGGTTTTTGACTTCACAATTGGGGGAAAACCTAGGGGGCTCTATGGGGGAAGAACCCATAAATGAATAAGCTAACATACCTTAATTCAAAGTCCTAATCAATCTCTCATCAATGAAGGAAAATCTGCCCTCTTCTCTTCTCTTCTTCTTCTTCTTCACTTCTAGAAAGAGCATTTTTGGAGAGAATTTGGGATTCTGAAATGAATGAGTTAATGACTTAGTTTAGGGGCCTATTAAGCTTATATAGGTAACTAACTAACTGACCTCACTTAACCCCTAATTAATAACTAATTAATTCCCAAACCCCCAACTTAAAAACTAAAACTAAAAATCTGCCCCCACTCACGAACCACCCACCCACGGACTGTGGGTGGGTCCATGCTCCGTACTGCACCTCCGTAGGTGTTGGTTCTGAGGCTGAAAATGCAGGACAACTCAGGCCTTGACCCACGACCCCAACCTACGGGGCATGGGTCCACTCATGGCCAATAGATGCCAAGCGTGAGTGGCCTGATTTTTGACAGCTTTTAGGGCTGTTTTGAGGTCCTCCTCAAGGACCTCTTGGGTTGTCCTTGGGGGGTCTTACCTTGACGCCCTAACCCTTAAACCCCTATTCTAAGTACGGGAATCATTTTTACGACTTAAACCCTCTCATCAAGCTCTAAAACTCTTACGAAAAGCTCTAGATTTCTCTAGTTCAACTTACTAATTTCCGGGGAGTTACATCATTGGTGCAAGTAGAAAAAATTTTGAGGCATTTTTTGTATTGTTTATGTATTTTTCTTGATTTTTTGGCATTTTGTGGAATTTACGTAATATTCGGCCATTTTGGGTACTAAAAAAGTAAAGTTTTGTTCTTTTATTCGTCACGATATAATAAGGTCTTTGGTGCAAGTCAAAAAATTTTTAGGCGTTTTTTTATTGTTTATGTATATTTTTTTATTTTTGGGGCATTTTTGGGGAATGTACGTTATATTTTGCCATTTTTGGGTAGTTACGAAAAAGATGTAAAGTTTTGTTCTTTTATTCGTCAAGATATAATAAGGTCTTTGGTGCAAGTCAAAAAATTTTTCAAATTGATGCATTTTTTGTATTGTTTGTGTGTTTTTCTTGATTTTTCAACAATTTTGAAGAATTTACGTAATATTCGGCCATTTTTGGGTACGAAAAGAAGTTAAGTTTTGTTCTTTTATTTGTCACAATATAGTCATTGGTGCAAGTGAAATTTTTTTAGAGGCATTTTTTGTATTGCTTATGTGTTTTTCTTGATTTTCCAACCATTTTAGGGCACTTACGTAATATTCAGCCATTTTCGGGCAGTTACGAAAAGAAGTAAAGTTTTGTTCTTTTATTCGTCAAGATATAATAAGGTCTTTGGTGCAAGTCAAAAAATTTTTAGGCGTTTTTTTATTGTTTATGTATATTTTTTTATTTTTGGGGCATTTTTGGGGAATGTACGTTATATTTTGCCATTTTTGGGTAGTTACGAAAAAGATGTAAAGTTTTGTTCTTTTATTCGTCATGATATTTTAAGGTCATTGGTGCAAGTCAAAAAAAAATTGAGGCGTTTTTTATTGTTTATGTATTTTTCTTTATTTTTAGGCCATTTTGGGCATATACGTTTTATTCGGCCATTTTCTGGTAGTTACGAAAATAAGTAAAGTTTTGTTCTTTTATTCGTCACGCTATTCTATGGTCATTGGTTCAAGTTTTAAAAAATTGAGGCATTTTTTGTATTGTTTATGTATTTTTTTTCATTTTTGGGCATTTACGTAATATTCTGCCATTTAGGACAGCTACAAAAAGAAGTAAAGTTTTGTTCTTTTTATTCGTCACGATATTCTAAGGTTATTGGTGCAAGTCAAAAAAAATTTGAGGCATTTTTTGTATTGTTTATGTATTTTTTTTATTCTTCGGCCATTTTGGGGAATTTACGTAATATTCGGCAATTACGAAAAGAAGTATAGTTTTGTTCTTTTATTCGTCACGATACTCTAAGGTCATTGGTGCAAGTCGAAATTTTTTTGAGGCATATTTTGTATTGTTTATGTATTTTTCTTGATTTTTCTACCATATGAGAGCATTTACATAATCTTCGGACATTTTCGGGCAGACACTAAAAGAAGTAAAGTTTTGTTCTTTTATTAGTCACGATATTCTAAGGTCGTTGGTGCAAGTCAAAAATAAAATTGAGGCATTTTTTGTATTGTTTATGTATTGTCCTTTATTTTTTAGCCATTTTGGGGTATTTACGTAATATTCGGCCATTTTTGGGCAGTTACGAAAGAGTAAATTTTGTTCTTTTATTCGTTACGATATTTTAAGGTCATTGGTGCAAGTCAAAAAAAAATGAGGCATTTTTTGTATTGTTTATGTATTTTTTTATTTTTCGGCCATTTTGAGGAATTTACGTAATATTCGGCGATTTTCTGGCAATTACGAAAAGAAGTAATTTTTTGTCCTTTAATTCATAACGATATTCTAAGGTTATTGGTGCAAGTCGAAATTTTGTTGAGTAGTTTTTGTATTTTTTATGTACTTTTCTTGATTTTTTGGTTATTTTGGGAATTTACATAATATTCGGCCATTTTTGAGGTAGTTATGAAAATAAGTAAAGTTTTGTTATTTTATTTGTCATGATATTCTAAGATCATTGGTGCAAGTCAAAAAAAAATTAAGACATTTTTTGTATTGTTTATGTATTTTTCTTAATTTTTTGGCCATTTTGGGGCATTTACGTAATATTCGGCCATTTACGGACAGTTATTAAACGAAGTAATGTTTTGTTATTTTATTCGTCACTATATTCTAAGGTCATTGGAGCAATTAAAAAAAAATTCAAGGCAGTTTTTGGCATTTTAGGGTATTTACATAGTATTCGGCCATTTTCGAACAGTTATGAAAATAAGTATAGTTTTGTTCTTTTATTTGTCACAATATTCTAAGATCATTGGTGCAAGTTGAAATTTTTCTGAGGCATTTTTTCTATTGTTAATGTATTTTTCGGGAATTTACATAATATTCGGCTATTTTCAGGCAGTTACTAAAAAAAGTAAACCTTTGTTCTTTTATTTGTCACG